GGTAGCTGAGGCAGGTTGTAGGAAAGTTAAGGGGAAAGTTATGTAATTATATTTCAGTTAAAACCTATTAAAAATAACTAAGTTAAATAAAATAATTTCTTGGGTTCCACATGTTGCCTTTGGCATATATTATTTCCTTGATCCCAGTCCCCAGCCCATTAATGAGTTGACTTCAAGATCATTTTATAAGAAACATTTATGCCTTTAAATCCCCTTCCGAGAAACCTTCTTTCAGAGGATCTGAGGCTGTTGGCAGGAATGATGATGTGGTGAGGTCTCTCTGGGGCCGGGCTGTGAGATGCAGTTGGAGGATCTGACCAGGGAACAGCAGCATAAGCGGCAGGCATTTTGTTAACTGTGCCCTGCTGCCAGACCCCTACTTCTATTTTAAAGATACATTGCATTCTATTATCTTCAGCAAATAATTGCTTGTTACACTTCAGTCCTGTGGCTTCTATACACCCAGCAGTGATAGACTCATGCCCAGTGGGATGAACGCATAGAGATGCCCCTCAGAGAGCCTCATTTTCTTCTCCCAGCAATCATTAGTATGGCCAGTCCCAGCTTTAGAGTCTGCTGAGCTGTGTGTTGAGGGACACGGGTTAAGGGCTTTGGGTTTTATTTTTAATGAGGCTCTGTGTGTGGCACACATACTTCCCACGCTCCTCTGCATGAAAAATACAGTGTTTCCAAATGGTCCCCAAACATCCCATCATTCGGTCAAGAGGTGGCTTATGGAAGCTTCCCTTGCTTCCCAAATGGGCCGTTGTAGTTGTCTCTACTGAGAAGGTGGTCTCTGTGTTGCTAAAGAACCCCTGATGTCATCAAAGATGGGAATCTCTCATGTGGCTCTCTAGATGCCGGAATATAGCATGGCCAGTGATGTGAAATCACTGTTTGAGAGCCCATCTGGAGGAACCAGGAGTAAAAAGAGGGGGTTGCCCAGTGACTCCCTACCCCCTGAGCTTCTCAAGCCCTCTCAGCTCAGTCATCAACCTGCATGTGAGTTTTGAGAAGATTCTGGGCCCACCTTCTCTCAATTCATGAATATCCTTTCCACCAGACAGCTAGTCAAGCTCAGTCTAACCCAAGGGCCATTTCAGAAGTTTAGAAGTTTGGGGATGATTTGGCCTTTTATAAAAAGTCTCCAATTATAAGCTTGTTCATTGCAGTTCATTCTGCAGGGGTTTCCTTTGGGCTGAATGTAACTGATAAAACTTTAGCCCGTGTGACCGCTGTTTATTGTAGCAGACAGGGCAAACTTAGATATAAAAGTCTATATTTTTAAAAACACAGAAAAATTTTTATTTAAAAAAAAGCTGGCATCTCCTGGCCTCTGGTTAGACTTTTTTCATTCCTGCTGCCTACCAGGCAGGCCACATTTGTGGAATTCATGAATTTGTAGAAGTCATTTTCTACTGGTTATCCTTGTATTTTCTGTTTTCCCGTGGTTTGTGGATTGTTTAGTCTGTTTTTTTTAAATTTTTATTTATTTATTTTTTTGAGACAGTGTTTCTCTGTGTAGACCCGGCTATCCTGGAACTCAGACTGTAGATCAGCCTGCCTCTGCCCCCTGAGTGCTGGGGTAAAGGTGTGTGCCAACACTGCCCGGTCATTTAGGCTTCTTGAGATGCACCAGTAGAAGAGAACTGGAAGACACCCTAGAGACGTGCGGTCCAAGAAAGCCAAGGAGAAGGAAGAGCTTGGCTCTTTGGCCCCCAAGGCTTTGCCTTGTATGCCCCACTACTGAGCGTACCCGTCTAAAAACGTCTTTGGCGCTACGTTACCCCTCAGCTATCTTGCTTCTCTTCACCGCGCTTTTCAGCGATGCAGTTTGAAACAGGTACCCCACAAGCCCCGCTGCCTTCATCCTCCATTCCCCACCCAGGTCTCACAAGCCAGCAGGGTCACAGTGCTGTTTTGTGACCCCCTTCCCTCTGCACACGATTCTCCTGACTCTTAATTATATCACAATGGGCTCCTCCTCCCAAGAGGCCCTGCCTCAGAGTCCCAGCAGCACATTGCCTGTGGAGAGCGGAGGGAGCCGGCTTTCTAGGTAAGTGATTAGGAGCGATTAGGCTTGTGGTGACGAGGAGGTGGGGAGACCATCAGGAGGACTGCTTTTCGCTTGTCCACGCGGGGGGAAGGGAGGGTGGAAAAGCTTTCACCACGCGGCTTTCTTGTTTTCCTCGTTTGCTCTCATCTGACTGCTTGGGTCTGCTCAGAATTTCTGTGTTGAAATATCATCTCCAGTGCAGCAGTATTAGGAAGTGAGACTTTGGGGACTTGGTTAGACAACGTGGGCAGCCCACATGAATAGAATTAGTTCCCTTATGAATGTAGAAGGCTGAGGAGGAGGCGGCCAGCGAGGAAGTAAATGTTCTCCCACAGAGATACTGAAGAGTAGGGCAGTGAATCCTCTCCAGGTCCCTCAAAACCCAGTAGGGGACACTAGGGTCAGAGTGTGAAGGACGTAATTTACCAACACTCCAGTCTTAGTCTAAAGGCAATTTGAGTATACCTTACTGTGTTGAAGGTTTTCCAAGGTGATGTTCAATATCATATTAAATAATAAAGCTATAAAGAAAAACCTGCACATACACACAATCTTCCTGTAGCCATATCCTTCATTCTTCAAGTATTATTTTAGCAACAAAGAAACTGTTAATAAGTATAACTTTTGAAATGGATCTAGGCTCAGTATGCCTTATCATGCTGGAAGAAAGTACCTATGTTGCATGAATGTTCTAGCTAAGTGTCATATTTAAGACTCTGGAATATAAAGTTATTTAAGAAAATTCTCTTATTCGAGTGATGGGTGATGTTCAATATCATATTAAATAATAAAGCTATTAAGTTCTGACACTATTTAGAAGTGAAAAACCAAGGGGAAATTGTGTTTACAATTCTAATTCACTTCTAAGTTCTCTATCCCACACGAACAGTTTCCCTACTGACATATCACTTATGGGCTGCAAGGGATTGTTCTTTGTTCAGTTTGGAATTTCTCTCCCCTCCCTCCCTGTTTTCTGAGACCGCCTAGCTTTCCTGTGAGAAAGCCCTGCTGAGAGGCTCCCGAAGCCTTTGCAGCTCACTCTGAAATGCCTAGCCATCATCTCAGGTAAAACCAAGCACTCTTTATGAAGAGCTGTTCCGTCCACCACCAGCTTGCCCTAAGTCACCCCTCTGGAATGTAGAGAAAGAAGCACTGCATCAACATGACCGATGAGAAGAGAAGCTGGGTGCTCAGAGAGTTCATTTTCCCACACAGTCACTCAACTGTGCGGCAAGAGCCCAGGAAGGAATAAAGTGTTGAAAGGGCAAAAACTATTTGCAAAGCATCACTCAGTGAGCGGCAAAGTGGTCTTTGTACCCAGGCTTATCTAACTACATATTTTAACTTGTAGGTAAGCTTCCCCTTTCCCTACCCGCTAAAGATGCAGCCTACTTCAGAGGCGGAGCAATTTATTTGATATTTACATTTCAGGAACCATTTTTCCCTTGATTCCACAACCGGGATACAGCTTAGCGGTGTAGGGCAATCACTAGTAACTGAGTAGGGATATTTGGGCCTCTGAATCCCTTTCCTAGTTCCTAACCCTCCCTTCTCTCCCTCCATTCTTTCCTTTACTTCTTAGTGTCTTAGTTCCTTCAAGACGCTGCAACACACACACACACACCACACACACACACACACACACACACACACACACACACTTCATTTCTCATAGTCACAGCAGTTGAGAACCCCCCTGATGGTTTCTGCAGATCCGTGTAAGGCATGGATCTATCTAACGAGGGCCCTGATCCCAATGCTTTGACTCTCACTGATCCTACTCCTTAGGGTTGGCTTTTCAACATGGAGCTTTTCAGGGGACACAAACATGAGGGCTCTAACACTTCTTCATCTCCCGGCCGTCTTCTTCCGTCTGCCCATACATCTATTCTGTTATGTATTGACGGCTTTGATGCAGCGTCAGCATTAAGGATCTTTTGTCCCTGCATGCTTCACCAGCTGTGGGCAATACAAGAGTTGGTCATGGGGGACAGCTGGACCTGTGCAGGAGCAGCCTTTCTTGATTGGCTAGCATAACATAGTGAAACTCGATAAGCAAAGAAGGGAGTTTCTATTTACAAAGTCTCCTCTAATTTTAGCTTCTTGGGGAGGGTGTATGTGTGTGTGTGTGTTCCTGTAGTCCCAGCACCTGAGAGATTAGAGACAAGCCAATCACTACGTGTTCAAGGCCAGTCTGGTCAACCCAGCAAGTTTGAGGTCAGTGAGTGTTACATAGAGAGACTCTGTCTCAAGAAACAAAGTAAAATGAAAACTAAACACAAGTCCTTCAAATCATGAGTAGAAACGAAACCCATTGGAAAATCCTGACTTACTATAAACCCCACGTAGGGGTTTTTTCTTGCTTGCTGCTTTTGATTTTCTTGAGACAGGTTTTCATCATTTAGCCTGTGCTGTCCTGCGACCCACTGTAACATGCAGACTGGCTTCAACTCCCAATCCTCCTGCCCTTTACTTCCTTTTTTTTAAGCATAAAAGGGAGGTTTATTTAATTTGGAATTCAAAACTAAATGTCTGGGGTTTTTTTTCTGTTTTGTTTTTTTGTTTTTATTTATTTATTTATTAAAGATTTCTGCCTCCTCCCCGCCACCGCCTCCCATTTCCCTCCCCCTCCCCCAGCCAAGTCCCCCCCCCCCGTCAGCCCAAAGAGCAATCAGGATTCCCAGCCCTGTGGGAAGTCCAAGTATTAGCTTTGTGGGAGCCTAGGCAGTTTGGATGCTCACCTTACTAGACCTGGATGGAGCTGGGGTGGTCCTTGGACTGCCCTTTACTTCCTAAGCACTGGAATTACAAATGTGTAGTGGCAGGCTCAGCTAAATGCTTCTGTTTTTGACAGAGGGCAGCTTGGGTCTGTAGCTAAGACCTCCCCAGTCACACCACGGTCCTATTCTAACATCTGCACCAAGACTATACGCTTTCCTTCTAGCTGAATCATTCCAGCTCCCCCAGGACACCTGCTGCTGTTGATGTGCTCTGAAGAAGGAGTCAACGCACTGGGGCACTGCCGCCCCCTCCTTCCACGCCAGGAACTCAGTTCTCACCATGAAGCTGCTGTTTCTTCTTTTTCTCCTTCTTATATGTCTTTCTCAGAGAGTACTAGGTAAGCTGTGAACCCAGCTGGATGGGTGAGGCAGTAGATGACTTAAAACCAAACAAACTCCTAATTCAGGCATGAAATGAAATGGGTTCTAAGAATACGACGCGGTTATAAGATACATAACGCATCTGGTCACTGGTCTTGTCAACTTGACAGAGTCAGCACGGTGTAGATGAGGGGCCTCTAGGTATGTCTGTCAGGGGTTATCTTGTTACAGTAACTGACGGGAAGAGCCAGGTGCTTCCTGGGCAATAGATCCTGGGCTGTATCGGAGAGGATGATGTAAGCTGAGCACTAACAGGCATGCATTTGCCCCTCTGCTTCTTCAGTGCAGCACGGCCAACTCCCTGAACCTCCTGTCCATGCGACTTCACAGCCCCGATGGACTGTAGCTTGAAGTGTGAGCTAAAATGAAGGCTGCTGTCTCCTTTAGTTACTTTGATCATGGTGATAGGGGAGAAACGAAGGCCGTGTGCAGGAAATACTTTACAAAGAGAAGCTTAAAGAAGTTTAAAAAAATGACACCCTTAAGTTCTTTACCTGGTAATAGTTAATAATTGTGACAGACAGTATTTTGATGTGCCTTTCAGACTACACATCACTTCATGAGAGTGAAAAGAGCAGCAGCAACACAAATAGCAATAGTGCCAAATGACCATGGCCACTTTCTCTTCCCAAACACCATTTTTTAAAAGTTTTAAATACTTATTATATTTTATTTTTAACTTTATTATTTAAAAAGCCTTGCAAATAAATACCAACGTCACACATCAGCATTAGGCAGACCCAAGGTCTAGACGACTCAGTGAGCTCTATTCAGTTAGAACAGGCATTCAGAGCAAAAGCTCCCTATATATATATTGAATATATTTTACACTATTAGCCATTACTGAAGCCCCCCCCCCCAAAAAAAAACCCATGACAGGATGAGAACCAGAAAAACAACTGGCTTTATATCCTCTTCCATGTCTCATGTCGACCGCCCGCGTTCAGTCCTTTCTCATCCGCTATACTCAGTCTTGTGTCTTCTCTTCCTGCTCTACCATTCCCACAAGTGCATTTACACACACACACACACACACACACACACACACACACACACACACAGAGAGAGAGAGAGAGAGAGAGAGAGAGAGAGAGAGAGAGAGAGAGACTGCATAAGAGGTAGAACATGTGTAATTTTTTTTTACATACACTAAGTCCATCCATTTCCCTTTAAATATGAAGTCTTTGGAGGAGGCATTGGACTCCTGGAACCTGGAATTACATGTGGTTGTAATTAGCCTGATTTGGGTGCTGGGAATCAAACCTGTGTGTTCTGAAGGATGGTGTTTTTAACTGCCAAGCCATCTCTCCAGTCTCAAATGCCTCCCTATTTTTTTTTAAACACACAGATTTTTCGGATATTATAAGCTCTGACTGGCAAGAAACTCACTTTGTAGACCAATCTGGCCTCAAGCTCAGATCACTCTCCCTCCTGAATCCTATATGTACACCACCACACCACAGTACAGGCTTCAAACATACAACAGCTAATTTACTCTTTGCTGCAGTAGATACAGAGTATTTCCTAGCTGGGATGTAGAAATGAATAACCTACACTAAGACAGAGACTGTACTTGGCAAAATTCACAAGTAAAAATAGTCCAATTCTGCAGAAAATACTATTACATTTCCAACAATCTTAGACAATAAGTTTATTTATTATGCTTTAGATAAACAAAAATTGAATTTTTGGTGTGAATATGGCCATGCAATGTTTAAAGTGTGCTTATTCTAAAAGCTTAATTCTTAGCTACATAAAAATTCAGATTTAATGAAGTGGCCTCATTTTTACTGGGTGATCTTACACGGAGAAACTATGTCCCCAGTCTTAGCATCTTACAAGAGCACAGGGATTCTTCCTCCGTGAGGTGCAAATCCACTCAGGCCACAGGGGTGCTCTGCTCACGGCAATCCGTCAGTCCAGGCTCATGTAACAGCTACCACAGTAGCAGTTAAGAACCCAGTAGGCATTGCTTCTGTCCAAAACACACTGAGCAGGCTCATAGCTAATATATATCTGGCAAAAGATAGGATCATCATATTTTTGTGTCAAGATAACAGAGAACCAGAACAATTTTTGAACAGCCTAATGGGAGAGAAAGGGTAAAGGGAACATGGACAGACGATTGACAATTTATAGATGATAAGTGAATGATGGGTATGTTCACTGATGATAGATATGGTTGTGGAGGTGGCTACAGGTAGAAGCAGATGTCTGTCTCTGCATGTTTGTTTTTGTTTTCTTCCTATAGCGGCAGTGTAGCTATGTTTAGATCTGAAGTCTCTCATTTCCGGTTGCTGTGCTCTCCGTCACCACACAGCACGTCGAAAAGCCACAGACCCGGATAGAAACAAGATCCAGCATTTACTCATGACTGTCCTTCATTCTTGGGCTTTCTTGATTTTCGGTCAAGATTTCGTTTCTCTCTACTCACCCTCCTCTCTCCACGGCTTCAATCTCCCTAGCCTAACTCACCGGGGCATAGGAGACCACACACAGCACACCACACACGGCACGCCCCTTCTGTCACTCACTCGCTGTGTGTCGCCTGATATTTGCTGCTCACTAGGAAAGTTGTGACTGTCTAGGAGAAAGACGCTTTAGGCTTTATAGAGGACACGTGCAGGGAAGTGAATCACGCTCACATTCTCGGAACACAATCAGGTGCGGTGTTTTCTCTGACCCAAGCGTCTTCACATGAAAACGAAACTAAGATACAGGCACCACAGACTTTCAGATGGACCAAGAAAAAGAAAAAAGAAAAACAAAAAACAAACAAACAAGCAATAACAACAAAAAACAGGCTTCAGTGGCTGCATGGCCTCAGCTACCACAAGTCATCTCTGTCTTTCTCATAAAGACAGCCACAGAGTGTGAGAGAGTAAGCCGGGCTGGCTTCCCGCTTTCTCGTTCAACAGCACTGAAATCACACGTTATCAAATGAGCCTCCTTGTCTAACATTCTTTGTAACAGTCTGCGAATGAGAAAACGGATACCAGCTCAAGTCACACCTGATCCATTAGAAAGTTAGTGTGGGTCTTGTGGACGGTTCCGCCCACCCTTGCTAGGTCCAATAAATTACTGTATCTTTGTTTGGATGAAGCTAAATTTGTTTCTTCACCGCTTCTTTCCCTTTCCCTTACAGGGAACAAAAGAAATGTGAGATTCCAACAATGTGAGAGAATGGGCGGCCATTGCAAGAATCAGAAAACGCACGGATGCTCCATCCTGCCTGCTGAATGCAAAAGTCGGTACAAACACTGCTGCAGGGTGTAACGGCAGCTCACTGACATGCGCAGTTCAGCCTAAGAGGCGGCACCTGCTCTGATTTCCGTATAATAAAGGCATCATGAAGCATATGTACTCTTCCCAAGATGTAAATTTTACGGGAAACGCCAGTAAGCTTGAAAAGGGAGAATGTGGTGGTGTTGGGGTCCAGTGTTTCCAGGTTCTTGGCCTCTTATTCAAGAAATTAAAGGCTCTCACAGGTTGGTAAAAGCAGCAAGGAAACCTGACTTGAGGGCTAAAAACTCGGGGCTAAAAACGAGGGAGCTTGATATTGAAATTCCCGCTCCCTGCTGCCTTTCTCATCTCAGAGAAGGCAAGGAGTTCAATTTGGGGAAAGCCTGAGCCAGAACATCTGTGGAATTGAAACACCAGGCTGAGCAAACTTGTCAACGAGACTCAGCGTTGAAACTGTTGGATGTGGTGACTTGAATGGGGATGGCCCCTGTTGACACGTGTGTTTGAAGTTTGGTCCCCAGTTTCTGGAACTGCTTGGAAAGGATTAGGGGCCGTGGCCTTGTTAGGAGCGTCACTGGAGGAAGGGCTTCTTGATGACAAAAGCCCACATGAGACCCAGTCTTATCCCGCCCCACCCCACTCCACTTCTAACTTTTGAATCTCATCCTCCAGAGCATAGCCTGCATTCCTGCTGCAAGTTCCCCACCATGGCAATCACGGACCAGCCCTCTGAAGCTATAAATAAGACCCCTGGTTCAATGATTTCTTCTATAAATTGCCTTGGTCATGGTGATTCTTAGCAGCAATAAACCAGTGCCTCAGACAATGAGTTACACGAATATCTGTACAGTAGAGATGCAGTCGGCAGTGCCTGTGTCTGTGCACCTTTAGGAAGCTGGCAGAGCTGCCCCTGAGAAACTAATCTTCTACCTTTCCCTAGAGAAATGTCTGGTTAAACAGGAAGTCACTGATAACATTAAAGCCGATAGACGTTTCAGATTCTGTAAAATGTCCCCTATTATTAGAGGAGTAAATCTAAAGATATAATCAGTAATTATTGACCTGATTTGTTTTTTCACTGTGTGTGTGTGGGTTACATATGTGTGTATGTGTGTTCATATTATGTGTGTTCATATTATGTGTGTGTGTGTGTGTGTGTGTAAGTCAGAGGCTGCACGAGGCATCCTCCTCTAGAACACTCCATTTCAGCTAAACTGGCTGGCTAGTTATCCTGGAGATCCCGCCCCTCTATCTTTGCCTAGTGATGAGGGTACAAGAACTGGTCCCTACTACATTCAGCTTTTACGTGGGTCCAGTGATTCAAACTCAGGGCTCACAACTGTAAACTAGGGACATCTATTCCACTGAGCCATCTCCCCCTTAGTGTAAATCATTTTCTATAATTCAGGGGGCTACATTCTGCCTGGTGACCCAAGGAGATCCAGAATCTCTCCCTTTCCCCGAGCATCAAGGATTCATCAGTGATTACCAGTAGGGCTTGTGAACAGCCCTGGAGTACCTGCTCTTCATAATCAGAGGACAGTATGAAAAAAATTCCACCCTCTAAAAGTCCACTGATGCCACTTAGCAGATGGAGTCTCGGAGGCCAAATGCTATGCTCGATCTAAATTCAAGTTGAGCATGGCTAGAGTAGGAGACTTAAGAACGTAAGATATTACCAAGATATGTTTAACCTCATGGCTCTACAACAATTTTGTGATGCTGAAGAAATTGACATGGGAGAGCAGTTTACCAGGATGGCTGCAAGCGAAGCCCCCACAGGCTGCACCTCAATCCCCTTGCTTTCTTTCATCTCCCGCTTTCTTTGGCACCCTCAACCCCTGGAACGTGTGCTCTCTATACTGTTCTGTAATGCCTTTTTTGATGTCTAACCTGTGTCCACGTCTTCAGTGTTGGTATTCAAGAGGATAACAACCCCTCCCCCAATACTCTGCCACCCTTGTGTTCTCCCAGATTGATACTATTCATCTGCCACCCATGAAGAGTCCCAGAGTCTCTTAAATAACCACCTCCTGCCTAAATTATGCTTTAACACTCCAGGAACTATAATTTCCAGAAGAGTCCATTATTCATCATTCCAAGATTCCACATCTCCAAGGACCAACCCCCCCCTCATGTTATCACTTCCGGTCTACCTTTTCTTTTTTGCCTTTTATTTTTCTGATACAGGGTCTTGTGTGGCTCACTAGCACTGTTCTGATACACAGAAAGTAATCAATGCTTATTTAAGGATTAGATAATAAATGAAGAGAATGACACAATGCAGTCTCAGCATCTGATACAATTCAGGAAGGACAGGCAATGGATCCTTCAGGTCATGGTTCTCACACAGCAGAAGCTCCTGCCAGGGCACAACCCTGGCATTCGGGTACAGTTTGTTTTCCTCCTCAGGCACACACTTACGAGAGAATCACAGTAATGGTGCTCATAATCTGTGGAAGGAAAATAAGCTGCTTTAGGTAGAAGTTCTCAAGCTCCCTGGGCAGGAACTGACACCACCCAGTAGGATCAGGAACCTATGGACTCACTGTGGATGAAGGCGCCTCCCCTCTGTGCCGAATCTTTCCGCTCAGTCTCTCCTTCTTGTTTACAACCTTCAGGAGATGGTTACAAATGAAAATATTTGAGTTGTAATTGGAAGGATAAGAATCTTGAAATATTCCTATAGGACCAGCATATCATGGAACTCTTATACTCAGTGGTAACACTGGGGCTTTTTCATAGAACTGTTCAAAAATGCCATTTTGATGCAATTAAGACTTTGTGATTTCATCTCAGGAAAAGATACCATTGGGAATATAATACCATAGTATGGTTCCCAAAAAGGATTGTATTGACAGATAAATGAAATGTGTGAAGACATGATATGCTTGAAACTTTTTTGAGGCACAACAATTCAAAATCTGTACACAAGTCTCAGGCTTATAAATCCATGCTTGACAATATGCATCATAAGAAGAGATTGTAGACCTAAACTCATTTCTGAGTAAAGGACTCAGAATGACAGACACACTCTGAGGTGGAGGTTTTCTGAGCAGAAAAATAACTTGCACCTTACTCAAAGTTGGATCTGGCTTCTTGCCTGCCTCTTGCTTGGAGGAAAAGGAAAGCTCACACTGAGTGAGCAGTTAGGTGCTCCCTGGCTCATCTATTATCAGCCACCAACTCCAGAACTCAGACAGCAGATATCCCAGAGGTGACTCTCACCAGCCTCAGAGTAGCTTTCTGGGCTATGTGAAACCAATATCAGAGCTGAATGCATTGTCTTCCCATCCCATGTCACCCTAACCTCAGCCCAATTTCCACGAACCGGTTTGACACCATTCTGTGCACACACCGAAAAGGAAGTGACTGGAGCTAGGCTCGTAGCAGAGACCCCTCCCATGTGTGCCTGTCATGGGGTCCTGGGTCATCACCACTCCAGTGTAACTCAGCAACTTTGCAGCATCACCTTGCTCTTCCTGGACACGACTTGCATCTACCCAAGTGCTGTAGGCAGGTGTCTCATCACGGAAGCTGCTGGGAGCTCTCCCTGTTCTTCCACAGGAGAGCCCCTCATAGTTTATCATCTACTTGACTGAAAATTAGCTCAGCAAGGAAGTTGAGGCAGGATCACTGTTTGGAGTTACAACAACATGATTACTTACTCCCAGTGGGTCATTGTTAATAAACTACTGTCATATGAAGTGACAGATGATGGATGGAGGAAGGTACTACTCCAGCCTGTTTCTAACTTCGGAGCTCATTGTCCGAATTAGTACCCTGTAAATCACAATGAACCTTTAACAGGAAGTATGTATTTATTTTATGTGTTTATATAAAGGGTTAATAATGGGATAAAGAAGTAAGGGATCAGGAATACTAAGGAGGTGGATGACACCTCACTTGCTGTAGGAGTCAAGATCCAAATTCTCAATGACCTCCAAAACCAAGGAATCAAAGTTCTCCGAAGGCATTTAAGCTCCGCTATGACCCACAACCCCTCATCATGACGTACAGGATAGACACTAGGTTGAAGGTCAAACCTGTCTCCCCTCCATCTCACACCTGGCATGCTTTTCTCAAGATAGGGAAAACAATTGCCTAATTTTCTTCAACAAACAACAACAACAACAAAAACAAAAACAAAAACAAAAAAAAAAACAAGCTTCCAATTGTATGAATGTCTTTTTCTAAAAAAATGTGAGATTTGTCTTCCTGATTTTGCAGTCAGACTTTAACGTGCTGTCTCCCAATCACAGCCAATGGTGAAGTCTACTGCTCTTCAAGGCTACATCCATCAGTAGAGACCAACGAGAGAGTCAACAGAATGGTTGGGAAAAGCCTCTTCCCCCTTCTTCCTAGGTGTCAGAATTTCTTCACAGTTCAAGGCTAGTGTGAAAACATGATTTGGAAGACTTTCTCTTTAACATCTTTCTGCCCTACCCTGGTTACTGTTCCCTGGAAGCATCCTTAGGGAGATGGAACTCATACTGGAACTCATACTGGAAGATGCCCGATAGGGCTTACCTGCCGTGACTTGAGAGAGAAAAAGGACAACTGAGATGAGAAGGTAAAGTAATTTCATGGCACCAACTTCAGTAGAAAATGCCTCCACGTCTCTGGAAGAGATAAACAATAATAATGCTGAACAAAATACAATGTCCTCTTTTACATGTTGAATCAGCACAACTGAACACGAAGGAATGCCCAATTGTGTCTCGATACTGCCAGTTAAAATATACAACAATGAGTAGCCGTGAATCAATGCTTAACAGTATTTGCTGCATAGCTGACAGTTTTTCTTTTGTTAGTACCTAATGGACCAAGGATTAGGAAAGAACAGAAACAAAGATAATAAAAATGAAAATGACAAATTTTATGATTTGTTCTATGAGAAACCTCAGCTTGTGGCACTGTTTTTAGTTACTCTCATGTAACTATATGACCTCCTCCCTGAACTCAAAATCTATTTTCACAGTAATCAGAGGATTGCCCAAATGCCTAAAAAGAATACAAACCTTTGCTTACCTCTTAAGATCGTCCTTAAGGGGTCTCTTCTCTCTTAGAATACAGTTGTTCATGTTTCTAGAAATATATGACATCTCCCCCGCACCGGGCCACTGTTGGCTCCCATTTGATTTGCTCTCACTGAGGGCTGGCCCTACTCACCTGGACCAATGAGAGCTGTCAAATACCTCTGGATGACCCTGCTGATTCACGTCTCTTCAGATGTCGGTGGAGTCCCATGATGGACAGAATCTTATGTTCTTGGCTCTCGCACCGCTAAGCCTAACACAGTCCTTGGGTACATGAAAGCCGAGGGGCTTTCCTCAATGAATCATTATAAGAAGTGTATTGGGAAGTGGTT